CCCTTCTGCCAGTCCTACAAGATAAAGGTAGAAATACCACATAGTGTGAGGCTGCACTGCAATCCTGCAAACCCTTGCCCTAATACGTGTGGACCAGACCCAGCTCTGTGAGCAGCCACAGACACCTGTCACTAGAGGAAGCTGCAGTCAGTGGGAGGCCCTTGGGCCCCTCTGCAGATGACTCTGGGCTATCCAGCAAGGAGCAAACGCTGACCTGTTCCTGACACCCCATTCAGAGCATGGTGTAGTTGGAGGCTGAAGACAGATTTTTTCCCTGGGAGGAAATTTCTGGAATGTTCCATCTCCTAGAGAGCTGTTAACACATGGCCACAGGGCCCACATCTCCTTTTCTTGATAGGGCCTTCCTCAGAGAATTACGATTTCCCCTATTTCATGAAGCTCCAGGAGCAAGGCTTAAAGCACATGAGGTTCACTATGGTACAAAGCTAGCAGGTTTAAAGTTAACAACTTCTTTTTGTGTTACGTTTTCACAAAACCAGGCTGAAGCTGTCTATGCCCCTCATAATTCTTACGAGGGACATATTTGCAAACGATGGAAAAATGACCACACCAACCTGTTAATGGGAAGAGTCGGCTGTCAGCATAACTTGGCGTGATGTATATAGCCACCACAGCACTGAAACGGCAGCTGTTACCGAGGCAAACAGCTGAAATAAAAGAGGAAGAAAGGGGGCTTGCAAATAACCGCCTTTGCTAGTCCAAATGGCTCTTAATACCGTTTGTGTACAGACACACCGTTGTTAACATCTGCTTGGAGTTAATCTGAAGGGTTGCTTGCAAATAGCAATGCTGGTAAGCACCTGCTGCTTTAAGATAGATGAACTTTTGCGGGCATGTATTTTATTCCCCGCAGCTCTCACAAACAGCACCCTATAGAGAACAGAAATGAATGGACTTTGTGAAGGGCATTTTAGTTGAAATTGGATAGGACTATACACAAGTACTGCCAGATACCAGAACAGTTTCAAGAGTCTGGTTCAGAAATAGTCTAGAACCTGAGGGACTTGGAAGATTAAACAGAGGTCAAAATTCATCAAAGAAGAAAGTTCCTGGAACCACTTCACTGATTTTAAAACTGCCCTTTGCATCAGCATGTTTGAGCGCAGCACAGGTCCCATCTTCTTGGCATGCAGGGAATTCGAGAAGTGCAAAGTGTTTTCTGCATTTCCAGTTCACGTCTGTGCTTTCTGTCCCCTTGTCAGAGTTTCCCTGAGCCACTCTTCCCACAAAGAATTTCACCTCACTTGAATGCTTGTTTGATTTCAGTCAGGTAAATCAAAATGGCAAAGACAAGCAGACAAAAGCCAGCGTGAGACTGAACCCCTCTTTACAGCAAGTCTCTGTACGCCTCCTCGTTAGCGAGACTTGTCTGTCTTTTCCATGCTGTTCTATTTCAATGGGGGGGGTTGTCCTACTGGCTGTGTCCGTGCCGCAAGACAGTAGATCTACCGTGGAGCAGGTAGTCCCTCCCCGTACTTCAGTGACCTTTTTTCCTTTGATTTGCCCTTCAATTTTGCCTGGCCTAATTTATGACTGAAGTTGTTTGCAGTTTCCAGAATGGCCACAGATGTTCAGACATAACTGAAAATATCATGGTATAATATCTGTTTGCCTGTGTAGCTGTAACTCAGGTCATAAACTAGGCAAGAATTTGTGATGCAGGAGAAAAGTTAACAACAGAGGTTGGGTCCATCTCTTATTTCTGTGACTGCACAAAATTAAGAGGAAAAGTGGGAAGGGTGACTGAATCCCAGGTGTCTTCTGACACCTCGTGATAGCTCTTGTGTTCTTACTTAGATCTAACTCATAATCTTTTGAGCTCAGTGCAGATAGCCACTGACTTTGGTGGAGGAACCAGGCCTGTAAAGAAAAGAGGAGGCAGATGGGTAGTATGAGTGCAAAGGGAATTTTTTTTTCCTACTCTTGAAACTCACTCAAAGGACTGGCATGTCTTTACTCCTCAGGTCAAGGACTGAGATTTTTGACTAGACTTCTCTTTTCATCAGTACTGCTCTAGAAGGGAAAGATGCTCCTAGTTTCACGGATCATTCCTACCTCTTCTCTACCTTGAAAAGTAAATAACACATTCTCCAGTCATACAAAACCATGTCCAAACTTGATTGATGTATTTAAAATTCTTCCCTTTGGTCTGTACTTTCAAAAGGTAGTTCTGGGAGAGAGATCCTTCCACCTTAGTTGCACAGACATTCCCATACTTCTGTTTCCATTTGAGAAACTGCCTTCGAGGCACTACACAACAGCATCATTTTAGCCTGGAGTCCCCTGCATGGTCCGTGATGGCACCAGTTTGGCACTTTAAGCGAAGAGACTGGCAGAGTGACCCACCACTCTGTGTTGTATGCAGAATACCTTGATAACCTGTACATCTTTTTTTCTCTAACACATCTTTGCAGCATTCGCAGAATTTAATTGCTGTCAATTCCAAATGAACATGTGAGTCTCACACACGCAAGTTTCTGGAAAATTGCAGCACTGTATTTATGCAGGCAGAAGCAATAAGGTGTGTTTGGGAAATCAGATGTCAACCTGGAATTTGGGAAATCAGATTTTCATCTCTGACTGCAAGTTGTTAACCATTACCACCACTGCTATTAATCTGCTCCCATAAAGCAACCATAATTCATAACTGCCTGTTCTCACTGCACTGTGAACGGTCAGTGCCATTTCTGGGTATCTGAGTATTTTTGAAAGCCCTGCAAATGCTGGATAACCAGGACATAGTGGATTCAGTTGCTATGGTTGCAGGCACCAAATAGGGAAGATCTCTATTGCACCTCAGGCAGCAACAACTGATTGTGCCACTAAACCCACTTACACTCATTTTTTCATTATAACAATTCACAGTTGTGCTGACTGTGCTGCAGGTGACTTCACTGGCATCAGCAGAGGCAGGAAGACAGGCACTTTAAATCCAGGGCCCAGTGAAGCAGTTGTCCTCAGCCTAAAAGAGTAACCTATAACTGCGAAGTACGTAAGCAGAAACGCTCTGAGTTAAATGCATCCATGCAACAATGAAATGTCTCTGAAGCCAGTCCACATCAGTTTTGGTACATCTTGATAACGAATATTAATCAGTTCTGAAAGGGGATTCTTCTCATTTGTTTACATTTTATCAAAAATATTTCACAGCATAGAAAAGAGCTTATTCCTTGGGGAGATCTTGGAGCCTTTCAGAAACAATCAAACTGTACCACTACATCAGTTTCATTACTCACCCAAGTACCGGGGCTTCAACCAGTCTTTTTTTGTGCAATGCATACAATTAATGTCACTAATCTGACAAAGCATCTTGTTGTGTATTCATCACTAATATACTCCATAAACAGCTCCTTCAAATGCAACAGTACCTGTATGCTGAAGACGCACGTGCCAGTAGAGAGTGTACATTAAGAGGTTAACTAATATTATTACCCTTCCATGCTACTCTGATTAGGGTCATAATGACTAAGAGGTTTGAATTACCTCATTTGAGAAGGTTGGTTACCTTCTCATACGTACCAGGCTTCTTTTTTTAAAAAAAAGAATGTCTGAAGAGTAGGAGGAGGGAAAAAGCATCTGCACCTCAGCCCCCTTTCCTATTATCTGTTTGGGATTACAAGCCAGAACAAGTTTACTTTTTAAAAAATAGATAGTTTTTACTCATGTGAGATGTATGAACCAGATGGATACTTTGCTGTTTCAGTTCAGTGGAAAGCAGAAAGGGGTGGCATCATGAATGGTTAAAAATATCCCGAGTCCAGCCAAGCAATATCCATTTCCAGTACTGACTACCAGGGATGCATTTTTAATAACCTGTATCTCTTAACAAAGGTAACCAGTTAAAGGAGCTGTGTCTCTGTAAGTCCCTGTTGTTCTCCCGTTGTGCCTGCCCATCTCTTAAGTACGTACTGGTGCAGTGCACGACATCTGCATAGCTAGCTAACTTCATCAGAAACAATTTTTCACAATGGTTCTTTTAAAACTGTCTCTGCTGTGCTGCAGAGGGGTGGGATCAGAGTGACACTCAGTGGCAAGACGGAAAAAGTGATTCTCAGTTTCTCAGATTCTAACATCTGTCATTAGAATGCATTACATTTTAATCAGATCATTATTGGTGTTTTCTATCTGTTGGATAATATTCTACATAAGCATTATAATTCAGACCAAAACATGTACTTTTGATTAAGCAAACTGATGACCGAGCCCCCGCCCCCCCATAACTTGTGTGATCTTGTGATCTCCTTCGACTAAAAAAAGAGAAAATAATTTGAAAAATTGAACTAAAAACTCAAGTGATTCATTTCAGAAATAAGAGACTTGAATCACCTTAGTTTTACATTCTGCTGTAATTTGAATCTTTGCAGGCGACTTGAACAGTCTGTAGAACAGCATCTTGCATACCAATTAGCGTGTTGCATATGTATAACTGACAGTTCATGACCCTCCCAGTTACTTGCATTCGATCAAAACCTTTTCTGCATGTTTCTGAATGCACACCAAGCTACAGCTAATGGAATTTGATATCGGAAAAAAAAGGACACATTTTCCCTTTTATGTAACTAAACACTGGAATTCATTATGGAATCTTGACTATTGAAGATTTTTTAAAAATCAGTTTTGACAAGCATTTGCGAGAAATATTTCAGGTGGGTTAGTTCTGCAGTAAGGTAGCGGTGTGGATTGTCAGCCCTTCCAACCATGCCTCCTGCTTTGGTGCAGGGAAGGATTCATAGAATCATAGAATGGTTGGCAGGGACACCTTCCACTAGACCAGGTTGCTCAAAGCCTCATCCAGCCTGGCCTTGAAGACAGGCAGGGATGGGGCATTGGATTATGGTGCCGGAAATTCTCCTGAGCCCGTGGCTACCTAGAGTCACTCAAACTCACAGCGTTCAAGGATGTTAATAAATAAGAGTTGCCATAATACAATGTTCCTCAAAACACTGTATGGAAAATTAATTTCCGTGTATCCCTAACAGGGTCCTGTTGCATCACCCATGTCGATGCGATCTGTTCTAACAAGCGGGTCATGTCTCTCCCCACCGCTGCCACCACCACCACCACCACCCGGACCTCCCCCCATCTTTGACACAGAAACCGTGAAGGATGAAGGAACTGCATCTCGCTCAGCCCTATTTGCACAGCTTAACCAGGGAGAGGCAATTACCAAAGGTCAGGAGAAATCAAATTTTGGTCCATGAGTCAAACTACATCAGGAGCTGCTATATTTATTAACCTAACTTCCACTGCATTTTCAAGCTACTTTTAAGGAACTCAGATCTTTCTGAGGCTTGCAGTGAGTCTGACAGATGAGAATGCATACCAAAACCTCCTTTGGAACCAACAGCACCCAAGTATCTTCAGCGTACCTGAAATTCACACTCTTTATTTAAAGGTATATGTTTAACTTGGAGGCAGCCAAGCCAGACATCTTCAATCCCCAGTAGCTGGTGAACCTCTAAGTTGCAATTGCAGTAAAATTCCATCCCCCTTTCCGATTCACATTCGATGGACCAACCTGTGTCTAAACGTGTTACATGTTAGGTGAAAAGATACAGCTCACAGGTCAGTCTGGGGTACAATAATGAAACTTTTTGTACTAATACTTGACAGTTGTAATTAAAGTGGATGGCTGTGAGTTTAAACACGTACGATTGATACATCTGCCTTCAATGCCGTAGGGATAGGCCCAATATTGTCATGTTAGAAAAAGAATCTCATTTTTATGGATGTAAAAATATGATATAACAAGCTGTCAGAGCTCACTATAGACGGAGAGGGACTAGAAGACATTGCAGCATTTCATGTTAAAGATACCAAGGTAGCCCAGAGATTTTATGCGAACTGCTAAAAATATCTTGGCGGTTTAGGTCATTATCCAGGCAAACCGTGAGGAAATAAAAAATGTAAATTCACATAATAATTTAACACAATTACCAATGAACCTTTCCTGCTTAAATATGAACACCCTTAGGACTGGAAAACAGACTCTCTTTCCTAAATACCCAATTTTTCTTTTTAGGTCTACGACATGTCTCTGATGACCAGAAGACTCACAAGAATCCCAGCCTACGTGCCCAGTGTCCATCTGTTCGTTCTCCAACAAAAAGCCATACTCCAAGTCCCACCTCTCCCAAGAATTCCCCGCAGCAGAGCCATGCCCCTGTCTTGGAGCTAGAGGGAAAGAAGTGGAGAGTGGTGAGTTCCAGTCACGCCTTCTGAATTGCTCCTTGCACTAGGTTGAGCACTGGAAAAGGCTGTCTGTGATCAAGGTGCAACAAATCGAAGTTGTGACTAAAAGGGGCTGAGTCCTGCAAAGGTCTGCCTTGCTACAGTTTAGCTTTTACTGTTCTGTAGCATCTAAAGTTAATTCGTTTGTCTCTTGAGAATCATATACTAGTTCATCTGAACTGGAGAATGTCAGAACCAGCATATAAATTCCTTGCAAAATCAAGACAATCCCCCAGAAACAAGTCCAGTGGAGAACTCCAATTAAAATCCCTTCTTGCAGGCCATTCGTGCAAGTGAGAGGTAACAGTACTATCACAGAGCACTTTCTCCAGCTTTGTTGACCAATGGAATTACACATCGGTTTTTCATTACCCATTCCATGCAAGCATGTATCCCACCCATGCTTAAAAGTAGAGAATCGTTTTCCTTTTGCTCAGTCTACAGAGTATAAATGTCCTTTCACACTTCATAATGAAAGGAAATTTCTTCACCTATTACTCCTTAATGTAAATGGCAATGCCTGCACCTGGTTGTAACACACAGCATCGACCATTATATAACACTTGGGGGAACAAAAACCTGTTCTTCACGGTGCTGGTCTGACAGTTTCATGAGTGCATTTTTAATAGTTGTGAGCATAACGTCTTTACTACAGAATTAATGGGTTTTGTCATGGTCTATGCTAAGTTCTTCAGTTCTGCAGCTTTAAAATATACATGTGTCTTCTAAGGGTGAATTAGGTGAAATACCTGATCACCAAGCATATTAGATTTTTAAGCCACAGGAAGGATATTGCTCTGTTGTAACTGAAGATGTAATGACTCGAGACTAAGTTGTACTAAACCCTGTCTGACTGTTAGCTAGTTAAAGACAACCAATTAAATAAACTTTCTTTTGATATAGGAATATCAGGAGGATAAGAATGACCTGGTCATTAACAACACTGAACTCAAGCAAGTGGCCTACATTTTTAAGTGTAACAAATCTACGCTTCAGATAAAAGGAAAAATCAATTCAATCACTATTGGTGAGTGGATAGCTCAGCGGGGCTTTACATGCCAGTCTTGAAAAACTGACTTAGGTGATTAATAATGCATCTGATTCGTTCCATCCACTTTAATGGATTGATCACAGGAGTAAAGTCACTCAGCTATACAGTGCAAGACTGGGAATTTTTGTAGTTAATTCAGAAGGTGTGCATATATTTGCTTTTATTTTGGCTTTCTTATTTATGATTGCTTTTATTTTAGACAACTGTAAAAAGTTTGGCCTTGTGTTTGACAACGTTGTGGGAATCGTGGAAGTGATCAATTCCAGGGATATTCAGATTCAGGTAAATATCTATTTGAAAAACAAAGATAGACAGAGAACAAGCAGGGGAAAAAAAGCCCAACGTGTAGCTACAAGAGATTTTAAAAACTCAAAAGAGCACAACAAAAGTACGAGATTGATGCATCCAAATGTGTCTTTATGTGCACTAAATTCTGCCGATGTATTTAGAAAACGCCTATGAAAACTACTGACTGTCACTGAACAAACCTCCCTTAGCCCAGTCCCTTCTGGTTCCAGTGAAGCTGAGAGATCTGCAAGAACTGTTACTTCTGGCCCTAAACTTCTTGCTTTCACACTAAACAGCTACTAGCACTTGGAAGCTCAGCGGTGCTTATGGAACAAATTCTGGCGGTTAGCTAATTGATTCCTAGGCCCAGAAGATGGTTATTTCTTTTTTTCTTATTCTCTCAATGGAAATACTCAAATAGACTGTCAAAGGACAACTAAATTGACATAAAGTGAAAGTAGGTGCCAGCATTTTGAAAATCTCCCCTGGCAGCAATGTGACACATTGCGTGAGTGAGGAATGTAGTCACTCGCCTGCAAATGGGCTAAGAGCCTCTGCTGGTCTTGTCTTTGATACCTGCTAAGCAAAGCTTCATCAGAGATCATCTGCCTTGTGGTTCTCATGAAAATAAGATACAAGTATTTATCCATATGTCGCCCTCTCTATCGGGGACACTTGCCCCATTCAAAATATCGACAGTCTGCCTGACATTAACAGCGCTTCATTCATCCCATTCCAAAGAGGTCTAACTGTACATGTCCTAATACTGGGTTGTGTCCAACATATACGACCAAGTCTCAACAAGGGACTTCAGGATGTATTAAGTGAATAAGAAATGAAATGTTAATTGAATTATATCAAACTGCCAGTCTTCAAAGTGAGGTATTTTGCTTAAAAGGCTGTGCCTGCTGTATGACATTAAGTGTAGACAGTCCTGCTCCATGCTTCAGAAATACTGGTCACAGCCACCACAGGGAATGATAGCAAGATTTTTTTTTTAATATTTTGAGCCTCGTGCAAGTGACTGACATTGCTACCAGCTGTGCATCATCTTCTGAACAAGCAGTTTTATTCATGATCACTACATGTCTTCTTATGGCAGAGGCAGTTAGTTAAAGATCCCAGGCATTTAGAGTGGGTTTTTTAAATAATTAGATTGTTTTAATCATTATCTCTAGAACTATTCATGAAGGCCAACAAAATTTCTATGTAATGAACAGTGAAACCACAGCTTGTTAATACTCAGCTAAAGGGGAAATATCTTTTCTAAGAATGGACGTTCTTTTGATTCAGGGGGTCCTATGAATATTGCATAAGGCTTCTGTGCCGTGGAGCAGAGTGGAGTTCCACTTAAGAAGGCAGAGTCTGTCTGTGTGCTATGTGCTGCTTGAATCAGGCAGCTTCCACAGGGTCTGAGTATGCCAAGTGCTGAGCACCTTAGTTTTCTCGGTACTTTGAAGACCTGAGCTTATAATTTCCAAAGACATGATACGTTAATGCAACAAATTTCTGTAAATATGTCCTACAGATTTTGCTATAAATAGTTACTTCAGTGCCATATTGCTTGGCTCTCCTTCCTCTCAGTGGTATTTTTGTTCTTGCCAGATGTTTGCAAAATTTATTAAACGCACCCTCCTTTTGTTCTCTGTTGCATGAGAACCCATTAAGGAAAAGAAAGTTTAAGATGTATCCATCCACTACATTGATCAGACTTCAGGATCAGGGTGGGATGCAAGAGGACAGACCACTTGTTCCTTGTTTGCTGTCACATTTAAGGAACTGAAGATGAAAATGTATTCCTAATACTCTTTCATTAACAAGTACAGAGCTGTCACATGCTGTTACTGGTTTATGGCTCGGAATAAGCTCTGCCCTTGTGATGCATTTTCCAGAGTATACTGCTGTCCCTGCTAGAGAGGGCAGGTAGGAGAAGGAGGATTTTTTACTGACAACCAGTGAGTCAGCCAGTTAGCCACGAAGAAATCTTTTCATCTGTAGAATGGTAAACAAGAGAAGATTGCCCTCTCTCCCCTCAAGTAAATCTTGTGCTTGCTTTTAAAGTGACATAAGAAGTACCATTAGAGATTTAATTAAATGGATCTCAGTACTTTTTTTAGAACTGCAGCTTGCCTGAAGGGGATAAAACCCCTTTCCTGTTGTATGCTGTAAGACCTGGCAGAGCGCTGAAGTCTCCGGAATGTAGTACCAGTCACTCGTTGAGTACTGCTGTATGCTGGGATCTTGCATTTGCCCTTAGTGGGTTGGAGTTGACACGTTTGATTTCTTTACCAGTTCTCAGTGTTGAACAAGGTGAGCACCGACTAAATACCAGCAGAGAAGTGTTACTGAAATCAGAGGGAATTAGGGAAGCACATTTCATCAAACTGTATATTAAAAGCTTGCTGTATATTATACGTTTGCTGTTGTGTATAGATCTTCGCTACCACCACCAAGAATTTTCACAGTGTCTAACAAATCAAATACGAGCATCATGCAGGCAGCTGACACACAGATCAGATGTTGGTGGCCAAAATTAGACTTGGCAGGCAAGGAGTATTTTATTAACAGTGTGCATTTTAAATATCATATTAAGTAGATTTTATTTTGCAGGTGATGGGGAAAGTGCCAACCATTTCTATTAACAAAACAGAAGGCTGCCACATCTACCTCAGCGAGGAATCATTAGATTGTGAGATTGTGAGTGCCAAGTCATCCGAGATGAACATCCTCATCCCCCAAGATGGTGATTATGTGAGTGAGAGATTTTTAAAGCGTTCCTCCCCCTTCTCCACTAGTCTTGGTAGCTAACAGCACTTAAACTGCTAGGAAGAAAACTAACATACTGCACATACTATGTCACCAAAAGTGATACAGAACGATTGAATTTCTGTGTACCGATAGCTATCAGTGCAGGAAGAACTCCTTATTTTCTGGGTCACAAAGTAATTTCAGATATCAGACGTGACATTATTTCTCTCCGTTTTGATAGATAACGGCTTCAGCTCCTGTCCATTTTTTTTTCTTTTTTAATATCTAAACGTAATCTCCCAAAGAAACTCACTTCACATAAGAGCGCTCTAGATGATGATGCTAAAGCTAAGCTAAATATACTACTACCACAAATGAAATAATACAGTATAATATACTTGCTTTTTATAAAGCTGGTGATATATGGATAGGATCTGTAGTACTTTCTAGTATTTTCAACATATGTCCTTAAAAGCCACTTAAACAGGTGCGTTTTCCTGGCTCCTTTTCTGTACTGGCAAGATTTTCATACTAAGCCCACTGGCATTTCTAGTGAAGTCATGCTCTGTCACTTCACACACCAACAAGGGATCCTGCAGGCAAAGCACATTCATAATAGTTTCCTAGTTTCCTCAACAGAGCAGTGTTGGAATTGTGCTGAACACCTCTAGACAGAATTTCTCACTGATCTTTTGGGAGGGAGTTTTGTTGTGTAGAGGGGTTTAGGCTTTATAAAAGAAGATATGTAATAAGAGAATTCACATGCTCCACATTTCCAGAAGTGATTGCTGGATGCCCAGCTTGAGACAACTAAAAAGGAAACGATTTTCAGTGGGTGTGTGTTCACCTATTTCGGGTGGGGGGGGGGAAGGTCCTTTTGACCATTCTTGCTTTAAATCATCATATCATCTGAAATTACTGGCTATCAAAACACCTATTTGAGGTCTGAACGAGAAAAACCTTCCCCTCACATTGTTTTTTGTGTACGGGGAACAAAGACCCAATGACATCTCCCATCCTTTCACCGAATACGCAGAATGGAAGGAGACTTTGATGTTCTGCTTCGTTTCGCATACCCCACGAGGGATGCCGAGTCTTTTGAAGTGTATCACACTTAAAATGATAGGGGCGGTTGTTTTATTTTATTCTTTCATATTACAATAATGCTTTCACCCTTTAAAATTAGACTCCTCATGAAATCTCCACATCTAAATCCTTTCCAACCCAGACACTGATGGAATCTGAAGTCATTTCTGACAGGAGGCTTATTTCCTTAGTTGTTCCAAATAATGGTGTGAGAGGGATTATTGCAAAGTAGTACCATACCAAGGCTTAGTTGAAACTGGGTAGCAATAAGGCTTTTTCCTGTGTGGCATTGTGAAACAGCTTCCTAGGGTAATGAAGAAGGCTTCTCTCTAATCCTGGCATGTCTGAGCTATCAATGCTTTCTCAGTCATGTAGCACTAATAGTATTCCACCAGTTTTCATGAGGTATCCACTGTTTATTTAACCATCATTGTTGCTTTTGTTCCTTACCAGAAAGAATTTCCGGTTCCTGAACAGTTCAAGACAGCATGGGATGGATCCAAGCTGGTCACTGAACCTGCAGAGATTGTGGGTTAACTTCCTAACGCCACACAGCACTCGCTGACCGTGCCCAGACCGCAGCCAGCATAAACAAAGCAGTCATGTAAAGACCTAGAAGCAACTGCTGTGATAGGCCTTCCAGCATTAGCTCTGCATGCTAGAAACCGTAACACATCTTGGCACCCTTTTGTTAGGCATCCCAGTACTTTTCACGTTTCCGCACAGTTTGCCTTCACATACAATTTTAATTCTAAACGATTTCATGTGAATGTAACAGATTAAAGCCCCCACCCTCCAGTCACATCATTGGTTTTAAATACTGTATACATTAAGCCAAAATACTGCATGACACACTTTGTTATCATCTTGCTTCAGTGCATTCCTTTTTACGTTTCTGCTAATCCGAAGTAGCATTAAGACTTTATTTTTACCTATTAAGCCATTCCTGTATGACACAGTAAAAATGTACCCCTAGAAAGTACTCAGTTCCTCGCAGTTCTCTGGCAATCGTAATGGGGTTTGTTTTAAACACACGACAAAAAGGACAACTTTCAGCAATACATTTAGCTAAGAGACGATGAAAAAAATCTGGCATTTTAATCAAACACTTTTCTAATACGTATATTTAGAAGATCCCTGTTTTCTCTGAGGTAAGATTTTATTACGGCCCACAGACTTGCTGTTGCCCTCTCACTTCTTGCAAGTTAGTAAATCTTTCTAAGCTAAAGCCTCATCCAAGCTAAAACCTTGCAGCACATCATTTGAAGGTTTTTGCTCCTTGGATTTCTTTTTTTCTTTTTTTTTTTTTTTGGTGAGATAATCTCTCATTCTTTAAGATTTCACATTGTATCCTGCATCCTGTTCAGAAAACTGAGGGAGGCATATATGTCCGATACCGGCTCATTTCCTTACTAATAACTAATGTTGCTCTTGTAGCTCATATTCATTAAAAATACCTCCCTGTTTCTTCCCCACATTTGTAGGACTTACTCAGTTTCAAATATGTCCACAAAGCAAAGCCATAGATTTATGCCGTACTAATTTTGACCCCAAATAAAGGGGTAATTGCCTGTTCAGCCCTTTCATTCTACTTTATAGTCCCTATTGTACATGCTTTTTTAACAAAGGTGGAGTGTTGTATACGTTTGTACTATTTCAGCACATAGTACGAATAAAATTTTAAAAACCTGAAAAGTCAGCTTATGTTTTTGATCACTTGTAATACTTTGTAACAGTGAAATCACAGTGAGATTCTCGCAGAGCTAGTTATGAGCTAAATTTTGTGCCTAATTTACCTTGAAAGTACATTAATTCTTGGGGGTTTTTAAGTACATCTTTGACTGTAAACCCTATACAATACAACCAGTAGTGCTCATTCCGTAAGGTTTTGCTCTCTGATGTTTAATCTATGTGTATAATGTGTTTGCTTTACAACATATCATTTTTTTCAACAGTAAACTTCTTATGAAATAAAAAGGAAAATGTACTTGTTTAAATACAGAGTTGTTCAGAGCTTGCCCCATTGCACTGTTTGTCCTACCTGCTTTCTCCTTCTTAAATGCTGTTCCAAAAGCTTGATTGAGAAAAAGTAGCTCCTCCTCCCATTTCATTAAACATTATCACTTTTGCTGCCATAGTCCACCCGACAGTGAACAGCGGGTATTCTGCATGCTAGCAGATGCACCTGACGTTTTGCGCGTTTAACTTGGATGACAGCCAGAGAATTGAGCTTTTCACGATTCTCACTGCTAGGCACACCTGTATCTTCCAGAGATTATGTCTAGGGACATGCTCATGACCTAGCACAAGTTTATAAGGTTTGCCTTCTATTTTTAGCTTTTCCCATTGTTTCCTATGTGGCTTTGGGTAGGTCCCTCCTGTGCTAACAAACCACACGGGGTCCACCTCCATATTTCACTTGGATGTGTTCTCTATCTGAAAAATGGGTGTTGCATACTTGTCATGATAAAAGGATTGTTGAAGGATTGTTTAATCTTTAAATGATATTTGTCATTTGTTACATAAAATAGTCTCATTCTGGAGCATTCTGAACAGAACTACTGACTCTTGTTTTCATCCTGCATCAAACAGGGAACAAGTCATTATGCAGCAACAGGAAGCCACTTAATCCTTTGGAGGTATGATACAAAAAAAGTATCAAATGCTTGATGATTAAAAAAAAGCAATGAGACAGCTCTGAATCACTACACAGGCAAATTCTTTTAGTTCCTCACGGGGATTTAACTCCCCCTTCAAAAACAAACTGTCTGAAGCCTGGTCTGATTCTTCTTATAAACACGTGAAAGCAAACTCCCTTGTGGCTAGACCTTCTCCCTAGCACTCATGTCCCTGCAACATACAAGACCCAAGCCCATTTTTTTGACTGGTTTCTTAACAGTAAGAAGTCTTATGCAGTGACAGTGCATGCCTGACAGTCTGAACACAGCTCAGAACTTTGTCAGAGGGCAGAGGTTTAAAAGATAAGGAAGAAGGCCTTGCATGGACAGACCCAAGGTAATTGCTTCAACTGGAGGAAAGTCCATGCGTTACTGTACACCAGAAAACCAGAACAGGAGAGAGACTTTTTAAATATGCAAACAGCTTTTATCCAGTACTCTTAGTCAGCCACATGACAAAAAGTCTATAACCAGCTTTTGCCAGTTCTGATCCTCATAAAAAATACTCGTCATACATTTCCAGTTGGTTGGACTATTCTTTTCGCTGCAACCTGTCTTTAACTTCAAAAAATATAAAGGAGTGCTAAATAAACAAAATAAATCCAAGGTTCTGATTTTACCCTACAGAAATCTGTGTACAATTAAAGGTTAAAAACTAATTTTTTGAAAAATCAAGAATATCTTGACATACAAATAGTCAACAGAATGACAATTTGATGAGTCACCCCAACATTATCAATGTGTCTACCAACTCTGCAGCAGCGTTTGATCTGTGTTTAATGGTCAACTCCATCAAGAAATGAACTGATAAACACTGAGCATCTTTAAGGTCCTATTGATCCTTTTCTTTTTACTGTATGGTATCACACAAGACATGCCCCGATTTTGGATCTACGCTGCACTGAAATTGTGGTTATGCTTCAAATCAGTGCAACTGTCAAAACAGAAAACTGCATTTGGTGCATATATTGATAGGGTGCAAATGTGTTTGGTGTAATTAGCCAGTTTGCTTTTATAAACCTGCATGGGTCAAATATTCATTCACCAGTACAGATGCTATGAACCAGCCAGTAAAATACATGTAAAAAAGAACATTTTTTTACTACGTGTCCAAATGTAGAAAGCTTTTACCTACAAAAAGCTTCAACAGATCTCATACTTTCTTAAACAGAACCTCTGTAAAAGTACTCATGAAGTACTCTCTACAAGTAGCTCATGAAGTTCAACAAGGGGAACTAAAAAGTCCTTCACCTGGGATACAACCACCCCATGCACCAGTATATGCTGGGGGCTGCCCAGCTGGAAAGCAGAAAAGGACCTGGGGGATCCTGGTGCACACCAAGCTGAACAGGAGCCAGAGATGTGCCCTTGTGGCAAAGAAGGCTGATGGCATCCTGGGCTGCACTAGGAGCATTACCAGCAGGTTAAGGGAGGTGATCCTTCTCCTCTGCTTGGCACTGGTGAGGCCAAACCTGGGTCCAGTGCTGGGCTCCCCAGAGAGATACGGACTTATGGTAGAGAGATCAGTGAAGGGCCATGAAGACGATGAAGGGACTAGAGCAACTCTCCCAGGAGGAAAGGCTGAGAGAGCTGGGGCTGTTCAGCCTCGAGAAGAGAAGGCTCCCGGGAGATCTGTTCAAGTCTATACATACCTGAAGGGAGGGTGCAAAGGGGACGGAGCCAGGCCCTACTCAGTGGTGCCTGGTGACAGGACCGGAGGCAATGGGCACAGACCTAAACACAGGAGGTTCCCTCTGAACATCAGGAAACACTTCTACATTGTGAGAGTGACCAAGCACTGGCACAGGTTGCCCAGGGAGGGGATGGAGCCTCCATCCCTGGAGACATTCAAAAGCCATCTGGACATGGGCCGGGGCAACCAGCTCTAGGTAGCCCGACTTGAGCAGGGGGTGCTGGGACCAGATGACCCCCGGAGGTCCCTGCCAACCTCCACCCTTCTGCGATTCTGCTGTACTTGCTTCGTTATTTAGAATGCGGGTTACTAAGCGCGAGTGAAGTCAAGAGGTACTGAGGCAGTGACCGCCTGTACCCGCCAGGTGGCAGAAACCAGCCGAGGCCCGGGCCCGACTCAGGCTCAGGCCCTGCCCAAGCCTGGCCCAGGCCCGCGCTCACCCAAAACGGCAACACGCCAGACCAGGGTGTTCACACAGGACGTGTGTGTCACAGAACTGGGAAGCTCTGCTCTCTAAGTGTTGATGTAAAAACACTAAAAAATCACTTTCATTTTGAAATTATCTTCTTGGTAAAAGGAGAAGTTTGGATTGGGATAAACAAGGAAGAAGAAAAAACAACTACTTGTTACAAATGACTAATTTGGTCTTTTGGGTTTTTTGAATGCTGCTAAGCGTATCTCCATTAAAAGCTTATGTAGAAAAAAAAACCTGATCGAAGTTAAAAGTAACATTTAACAAAGCTGTTGAAGACAAAAGGCTAAGTAATTTCAAGTCTGCATTTGAAAACCAGCAATCTTTTCAATGTCCTAGGAAACTAGGCACTTGCTAAGGCTTCCCTGTGCCATAGTTACTATCCAGACAAAATATTCTTGTTCTCACTCTTTCTGAGTCCTCGGTGCATCTGGATCTGCACAAGTTCCCTCAATGTTACGGTACTATATGCATGTTTATAAAACTTTACATCACATTTCTTTGCCAGAGATCAAGATTTGACCATTTGAAATCCTTCAGGGGCTCAGCTCAGTATGGACCCTTAGTACACCCTCCTGACAAGCTGTTCAGTTGGCCTCCCCCTAAAATGTGGAGGCAGCTGACACTTTTTTCACAGGCAAATGGAGGTAAGGTTCACTTGATTAAATGATACACTAGCAAGCTGAGCAGTTATCAAGAACATACAAGGCAGATTCAGTTCCCCTGCTCGAGGTGACCTGGGCCCACTGCTGGGAAAATGGGGGTACTGGTGGACGAAAAGCTGGACATGAGCCGGCAGTGTGTGCTGGCAGCCCAGAAAGCCAACTGTATCCTGGGCTGTATCAGGAGAAGTGTGGCCAGCAGGTCGAGGGAGGTGATTCTGCCCCTCTACCCTGCTCTTGTGAGACCCCACCTGGAGTACTGCATCCAGCTGTGGAACCCACAATATCAGAAGGACATAGACCTGTTGGAGTGAGTCCACAAAGATGATCATGATGAAAGGCTGCGAGAACTGGGCTTGTTCAGCCTGGAGAAGAGGAGGCTCCGGGAAGACCTTATAGCACCTTCCAGTACCTGAA